AACAACATTTTCAGTTTACTTATTTTCCAATTGTGTACATTTGAAACTTGAAGCTCCGCGCTGCAAGCTCTCGGATCGAATTTACGCCGCAACCTAAATCTAGAATTTAGAGATATTTGTAACATTTTTTAATTTCTTGTATTCGATCGATTAAACTTCTTTCGATACTTAAATTGTAATTAAATTATAAAGCAGTTAGAGCCTGTGAAATAATTGTTGATTACAGAGTAAACTGGAAAATATTATTTTCTGAATCGCTAAAAATTTTCTAGAAATTATGTTTCGCAAATAAATAAGACAGAAATAATACACAAATCAATGCGTAACTAACAAGATTACTAACGTTATCTTAAAATTGTTTGCGCCTTTTAGAAATCAATCACTAATATTTATAATTGAATTGATCTCGACATCACGTTTTATTTGCAACTTGTTCCGCGTCAAGTTAAATTCAATAACGTAGAACTTTAATAAAATTAGGCAAAAATTGGAAGAAAACAATTTAATAAAGCACGAAGAGCAAAGCTTGGATGTTTAAAGCCTTAATTTTCGGATCTTAGATTCGTGTCCTTCAATTCCAAGCGTCAAGGTCCAAGTTCGGATATTGAATACACCCTCGGAGCACGGCGGTGCACCACCGTCGAGATCGGTAGACAGAGGTCCCGGCCTCGGCCGGGAATGGAATCGGGCTGGAGCGTGAAGAGGCCGTTATTGTGGGCGCTGGCGCGCGTCATTTGATCTGGCACAGTAGGAGGAAGAGCCGCGGTTGTGTGTGCACCATTTCCCAAGCGTTTGAGCGACGACGTCCCTCTCCCTGACCCACCTAGAGCGCCACGCCGCGCCGCGTCGACGACGCGGGCAAAATGGGGGAGTAGAAAGGGGGTGCGGAGCGTCGAAGTTGCGCAACCCTCCACCGCGGGGCTGGAATTTACCCCGCAGGCCGGCCAACCTAATGGAAACAAGAAATTGCGGCAAACTGCGTTACCCACGCCTCGACGCCCTGTAAATATCGCGCCAACGACGCCGGCTGGGGGTCGCCCGACGACGGCGCGGGGGCCGCCTCGCCTCTTCTCGGGGTTCTCAAAGAGACGCCTCGCTGGATACCGGCGAGTCGCCGCCGGTGGGGCCGCCGAGGGTCGCCCTAAGTGACGCAAATTGTTTGTGCAGCAATTGCTCGCCGGTTAGAGGAGTCTCTGCTTCACAAACTGCAATGTCTCGGGAAGATTCAACGGCAATGAAACAATCGGATGTTGACAGAAGTGAATTGTAAAGAAAATGCACGATTTATGATGTACAAATTGACGACGACAGCAAAAAAGATAAAGATAATAAAGATCATGCTAGACGTGTGGAATCGATAAATAGAATGTCGCGGTATAATATAAGAAAATAGAGAAGGACTCGCTCTCTTCTCTTCAGGATGCGCTTCATGGACGACCCGGAGATAGCCTGAAGAGATGGGGTGGCCGCGGAAAGGGAAGAGCACGGCAATCGCGTGTGTTTATCTAACATCTCTGATAATCGAATTACCGTTCGCTCGGTCCTGCTTTCTTTCCATTCGATTCGACGATTGTGAAGATACTTTCGAGAGAGATCGGACACTCCCGGTGCAATTTATCCGCGGCGACTCTTGTGAGAGTTCCGCGTGTTTGCGAACGACGTTTCACTCACTAACTTCACTAACTAACGAGTTTGGTTCCCGATAGATGTTTCGATACTTCCCGAGAATGTAATCACGAGCGTAATTGATATATTATTTTCTCTAGATACAATGGCGAACAGAAGCCGCCAGAAGGCTATCGAAAATCATCAATTTTATTCGTTCTCAGCATTCTTTTAAAATCAAATGCCTTTCACAAATTACGATTTTCGTGCACAAATTTTATTAAAAGGCTTTTTTTTTAATCTAAACGTGTTAAATAATTTAATACAAAACGCAATTTCTGTTTAAAGCATGTCGGCTGCGCTCAAAATCAACTCAATTAAATATAAATTTAGATTTGTCGGACCGGACATCTTCGGTTCAAGAATTCGTCGCCGATCTTCAATCATTCCGCCGAATGATAGTCGCTACTTCAGCCGCGCCGAAACAATCCGGTTAGGCCGACAATCTCGTCCACAATTACGAAGTTTGTTGCGCGCCGGCGAAAACGCGGGGGTGAAGGGGTCGGCGGGGGCAAGGGCAGAACAAGGAGGCAAAATCCATCTGGTGATTTCACAGGCAATTATGCCGCGTCGCCCGTGGACGGGCGCGGGTGGCTTACTCTTATTTAACGCCAATGTGCGCGCGCGGCGTACGCCTCGCCGACCACCGGCGCCAATCGCTCGCCGTCATCCTATTTGCGCGAAATTGTCAATGATAGAATGCGCGGGCGAGATCGAAAACCCCGCATTCAGCGTCCCGCACACCCTTCCCCGCGGCATTCTTCTCCTTTTTATTTTTTTTCTCCTCTCATCCTTTTCCGACCCAAAAAGCGCGCGATGGATTTTCCTCTTTATCAATTCAATCGCTACAAGAAATATTCGCGAATCGTCCCTTCTTCAATTTTATTCAGATTTGATTTTTGCAATTTGACAAACAAAGTACGTTGTTATTTCTTGTTCCTTCAAGTGTTCAAGATTGTAAAAGTCCGCATTCTTCGAAGTCGTTTATTTGATACTTTAGTATCGGAAATTAATGGTGTATGTTTTTTTTATACTTGCGCAATGAAACTATAAAAAACTTTAATTGATATATATAAAACATTTCTTCTATGTTTATAATAATTTCTCAACTTAACAATTTAATGTCTCGATATCTCGACTTCTTTTTACGTTAAAATAATATTCAACATAGAAAGATAAATAGAGCCGTAGATATTCTTAGTTATAAAAATAATTTCTACAATTTATCCTATATTGAATCATATTAATAATCAGAATTCATGGAACTTACAATAATTTTTGGATTTAATATTAGCGCGCATGGGTTGGGCCGTAAGATTACGTCGCGGCATCGCAGCGTTTCTTGTCAAGTTTTCGTAATTTTGCAAGCGAGTTGCCGTTTCCGTCGTTATAACGTCGCGGAATTGCGAAGGCAATCGCGACAGTCGCCGAAGAAGCTGTTGCTCTCTTCTTTTTGCCATTGAAACTTCTTTGCGTTTTTTTTCGCGCAAAAGGATGCAAAGCGAACAAATTTATCTCTATGATTATTCCCGAAAATTACGATCATATTGTTGCGATTTTGTGAAACAAATCTCGATGAAAAATCGATGAAAAAGTTTCTTTTTTCTTCACGCGAAATCGATTAAACAAATTGTTGAAAGTTGTCAGTACTTCTATGATCTCGCTCATCGCTTGTTTAAGTTCTACAACCAAAACAATTGCTATTCTCTTCAGTTCAGCTTTACATAATAATTTGCAATATGACGTAACTTGCCAGATTTATTATAGCGATACGTTCTGCTATTTTTGAAACCGTAACGGAATATACATTATTATGAAAAACAAATACCGGTTACTTTGTGCGCTTCCAAAATAATCGTCTGATGTTTCGCCTCCTTTGCTTCAGGTCTCACTTCCTCCCCGCCAGAACAACAACCTATTTCCTTTATATTCTTACCTCTATACCCCTTCTGCCACCCCTCTATAGCACGATTCCTTCCTTCCTTATTTTTCGAGGACGGCAATTTGTTGCCGGCGCAGCGAAGTCGAGTTTCCCGAATGTCGCAGGCGCCAATGGGATTAGCGCAGCGAGAAGCGGTAATCAGGAATAAAAATGCGTCAACCGGCGGCATTTACGCTAACTAATCTCCTTCGGCGGGCGGAGAGGCGCTAACGGAGTTAGCTCGGCTTCGTCGCCCAACGGCTCTCACTCTCCCTCTCTCTCCTTCTCTCTTTCTCCCTTCCGCTTCGTGTCGCTCGACCGTTGCTTGTTAGTCGGGTAATTGGCCATTTTTATGCTAAGCAGAGCTGCCGTCGTCGTCGCTGACGTTCTTTCCCTCCCCGCGCGACCACCCCTTCGCATCGCGCATCTTTCTTCCGCCATTTCGCGGCTTAAACCGGCAAATTGCGCTCCTCCAGCTTCGGACTCTTTTTCGGTCGTGTTCGCCGCAGAAGAACGCATTCTTCGCTCGTAGACATCGAAATCCACGCGCGAACGTATAAGCGTAGCGTGTAAATCGCGAATTTCGACTACACGACAGCCAAGTGGTACGACGACTTGCGGACGCGACGCAATCTCGCGCTTACGTTAATAAATTCATTATCTGTCGCTGCACGATGCGCTCTTAGCCTCGGCCGAGGCCCACTTTTCCTCTCCTTAACCGGCGTAAACGCGAGCGATAATCCGGATGCTCTCTCGGCGCTTTCCCGCCGCGCCGCGATACTCCGCACCGACGAGCCCCCTTCGCCGACTTAGCGCGCCGGGGCAACTTTTCGTATTAATAATACGGTATAATAATTAGTATTTCACGCGCGACTTAGCAGGAAGGACGCGCCGGCGTCGACGTCGGCGTCTCGGCGGAGCTTGGGAAGTTCGCCTGCGATCTTGATTTTAAGTTCGCCGGGGCGCGGGAGGCGCATATTTCATCGCGCTAATGTCCCGCCAGATAAACTACAATATTAGCTGCCTTCGCCCGTGATTTAATTTAACTTTGCCCCGGCGCGACATCCGCCTGCGAGCTCGCGCCCGCGAGCTGCCGCCGCGATTCGCGGCCTGGTTTACCCCGTGAAATCTCTCGCGCGAGTTATATTCGAGTGGGTGTGGATTCTCATCGGGAACAGATCGATTCTGCAAAAAATTTCTTGCAGCTGATTTATTATAAGGATTTATCATAGGAAAGAAACGTGACTTGAAAAAATATCCATCGAAAAAGAAACGCAACTTCCGTGACCCGCGTGCGAATCTTGTGTTCGATTGTTTCACTCAAATTATTTTTCATGCCTGACTTTGTGTCTGTGTGCGAGCAATTGGGTAATTAAGATACTTGGGTGAAAATAAAAAATTTATTTCCTTTATTTTTGCTAGTTTATGTTATATTATATTGATTTTTGTACAAAAAGAAATATATTTCTCGTTTAAAAAATTTTGGCTGGCTTCCCTTAAGCAAGTGTTGCCTTCTGATTCGTCAGTACATCCTCCGCAAAATTATCCGCCTTGGAAAACCTGGTGTAACTGTAATAAAACAAGGTGCACAAACAATATAATACTTAATTTCAATTTTTTAATATAAATTGCATTATAAGCACTTACATTTTGGCGTATTTCATTTTTTCCGCAGTGGACAAAGATGGCCTCGTCGATCTGACAGACTCGATGAGATGCGTTTGCGTGACTTTGATGTCGTTTGCATCCACTTTGCCGTTCTATCATCGATAAATAACTCGATTAGTACATCAAATATAATATCAATGTTATTTCTGTTTCGATAATCTATCTAATCTATTTCTACTTCGAAAACTATTCACAATAAATAGTTTACTATTTGTATTTATTTGCTCTTCAACTTTAGAGCACTTGGAAAAATATTGCCTAGTCTTTCTCGATAGTTAGCGCAAGAATCAGCTGCAAGAACTTAATGTGGCATATTAATGGCGACGTTTAACGGCGACATTTAACAGCGACGACTTGAATTAATTATTGGAGTTGAGCACAATCCGTATCGCTTCGGAAGACACGTTCCTATCCGCATAATCGCTTATCACAGCAAGGCGCCTCTATCTATCTATCGAGAGAGAGAGATGCGTCGCGCTCTCCGGAAACTCGCTCGCTAATTAGACGCACAGTTCGGATACTCGCGTTCTTCCGGGAGGTAAGTGCCGCGCCGTGCAACTTCGTTTTCTCTCCGATGCGAATTAATTAATAGCTTCCCGTGAAACGCGCCACTCGTCCCTCGCAAACTTCGAAGACGCTCCCGCGGCCTTTTAACGCGCGTTCGATAATCCTGATTAATTAGACTGAGCGCGCACACGCGCGCGAATGCAATGACCACTGAATTTATGTTTACCTCTATTGCTATATAAAATTACATTTCCCAAGTTCTTCGAATAAAAAAAGAAAGATGAAAAGTAGCAACATCGAGAGGTTAATTCGATTAGTTCCTGACTGAAACCTATTAGACGCCGATTAACAATTTTATGACTTCCAAGAAATTTATGATGCTCGAATACTTTAGAATTTTGATTAAACATTTATATGTTTGCACTGATCAGAAACATTTTCACCGAAGCTATTTCAACAGCTATATATTTCCACATTTGGGGAAATGTCACATCATCAGAATGCAATAAACAACTGAATAAATCCGAATCAATGAATAAAGACAGATTAGATGGAAGAGTGCACGCGACCGGAAGGTCAATGACAGATACGTCGAAGACGTCTGGCGGCTAACGAGCGCCATAACTAGCGGAATGGCTGTCTGGCTTTCGATCTTGCAGGACCGCTGCGGGGCCCTAAACCGTGTATCATTATAACGCATAAGTAATAACCCCCTGACGTTCAGCGAGGCTAGGGGCGCGCCGGGGCGGAGAGGGGGGAGGGATGAGATGCGGAGCGCCGAAGGGGATGGCTTGGTCGCTCGGCGCTCTCGGCACCGTGTGCTAATAAACCTGGTCTACGTTTCCTCGGTTATATCGCGGCACCAACAGCCCCCTGCGAACCACCTCCTCCCCCCCCCCTCCCTCCTTCCTCGTCCTTCCATCCTTTCCCCAACCCCGGGCGCGCGCCCGTGTGTACACACCGTAGGGTGCGCACCTAACGATATTATCGTCATTACACACTATCTTACTTCGGAAGCCGCCCTACAAATGATTCTCAGGAGTCGCGCGAGAGACGCTTTTCATTACGACGCTTGCTGAGATACTAGCAGAAAGGCAGCGGCAACACAAAACGATTCGGCCATTAGCGATGCGATCTCCTGTTCCGCACAAAAGTCGAAGTCAACGGAAAAATTTGCGGAGGGTCGATCAACGGGTTGGAGACTGAAACTCCGCACAAAAGTTTGTCGCTCTTTGGCTGATTGTGAGCTTAAACGTGTACGAAGTGCGGAAAAAAAAATATGGCACACATGGATTTAGAGTGATTCTTGGTTGAAAAATAAGTCTAAGTTTTGAAATAAATTTGCATGAGACTTTGATTTTGAGATAATCAACTGCATACTTTAAGAACCGCTTTCGCCAATCTTATTAAAAACAATTTCTAGAACAATAATTTTTATTTTTGTTAGGATTATATTAATGCTTCATTAATTGTATCAATATTCAAATTTAAAAATTGAAAGCTTTCTCCGAAGACAACATAAAGCACGACACTACGAACTTCTGATATTTCTGTAGATTTTTAACACTTGAAATTATTTAAGCGATTTAAAAGTTTTAGTTGACGTAATTAAATATTGTTGAGTTCTGCATCATATTATACTCTATTAATAAATTAACACGCAATTGAACCAATTAAAAAAATGCACGATTGATATACGAATGCACTCACAATCGCAGTTGCCAAGGCATCTTCGAACGCCGACAGCTTCGCCAAAGTAATCGCCGCGTTGATATCAGCTCCCGTGAATCCATCAGAGAACGCGACTAATTGTTTCAGGTCCAATTCGGTCTTACCTATATTTTGAGAATCACATAAAACCGCGAAGATCGCCTCTCTGTCCAACTATAAAAAAAAGAAAATTAAACGAATATTATTAATATATTATTGATATATAAAGCCGCAACCACAGTTAGAGATTATCGAAAACATAATTGCCTCGTTCGGTAAAGGGCAGTGCAGACACTTGTCGAGGCGTCCTGGTCTCAAAAGAGCTGGATCCAACAAATCGGGCCTGGAAGATGCGGCAACGACCGCCACTCCTTCGCGATCTTCGACTCCGTCAAGTTGCGTTAGCAGCTGATTCACCACCCGATCGGTGACCCCAGTGCTATCATGTCCGCGTCTAATTGAAAATAAAATGAGCGCTGAAATTGTCGCTTAATTTCCAAAATATGAAAAATGGAATAAAACAAAATGGAAAAGAATTTGAAAAGAGACAAACGATTGAGAGAAGTCAAAGTTCACGCATCTATTTTTATGTATATAGTTATTTTTATGTTTATAGCTATACACCACTTTTCTGATAAGTAATCTATTATGATGTATCGGTATTTCGTAAAGTAACGATTACAAAATACAAATATATGAAATATTTATATTGACATCGAAATGTTTTGTTAAACATTCATAAGTACATAAATATCCGTCCTGTTACTCACCTGGGTGCGAGACTATCGAACTCATCAAAGAATAAGACGCATGGCTTGGCGCGGCGAGCTCTAAAATATTAATATTTAAGAAATAGATGAAACAACAAGGAGAGAGATTGAATACAGATAAACGGATTGAGAGAACTTTCGGACAGAAAACGGTTTTACGAACACGTTTTACCTTTCGAACACATTTCTCACGGATTCCTCACTGACGCCTATGTACTTTGATAGCAATTCTGGACCCTGAAACAAAGCTGTTATTTAAAAAGAAAGAAGAGCTCATTGCATATCATTATTTAATTATAATTAAATTATTATATTAATTAATGCAGCAAATCAAACTAGTGCGCAAAATGAAAATGGCGAATAAGACATCGCATTATAAATGAATTCCATTTATTAAAAATTCCCAAGCTAAAATTTTTTAAAGGAGATAATAGGCTAGCTAGTGAAAATCTTATTATAATTCTCTTAATTCTCTCGGCAAATTTGACACGAAGTTCTGAACAACAAAAAGAATTTTATTATAATCCCACCTTGATGCTGATCAGATTCACGCCGCACTCGCCGGCGATCGCTTTGGCCAGCATCGTCTTTCCGGTGCCGGGCATTCCGTACAAAAGAACGCCGCTCTGCAGCTTGATCGGAGCGTTTTTGAAGATCTCCGGGTACTTGAGCGGCCACTGCAGAATTTCCGTGAGGGAACTCTTCGTTTCCGCCAGTCCGCCGATGTCGGACCAAGAGTGACCACCGCTCTTGTACAACTGCACGCCCTGCAGCGACATCGGCGTGCTGTTCTCCAGGGCGGTGTTGACGTCCTCCTCCGTCACGACGATCGACGGTGATTTTGATTTTTCCGCCGCTTGGGATAAACATAGTGCGTTACAAATAAGAAAAATGGCCGAGTAGAAAAAATGAGATCATGATACGTAAAATACGTAATTTATGAAAATAAAAAAAAGTAATTATAAAAAAGAGGCAAGAAATTAAGAAGATCAATTGAGTTGAAAGGATGCAATTATATGCAGAAGGTGATAATTGTTAATGTTTGATTGATTTTGTTTCTTTCACTGATTTATCACGATCGTTCGTCTCTCTCGTTACCGTGACGCTTCCACGCGACGAACTTCGCCTTCTCCGCCAAGTCGACGAGATCCTGGGGCACCCACCCCTCGGTCTTGTTTCCATAGTAATTCCAATTCATGTCTCCGGGCACGCACAGCTTGTCCTCGAGCGTTAATCGCAAAATATCGATTCTATCCACCTGGTTAGCCACGACACGAGTTAGCGATACGCAGAGATCAACGAGCAAACTAATGCGTCAAATACGAAGTTTGACAGAGAAGGTGCGGAAATACGGCGGCGTTTAATCGAGAAATGCACCGGCAAACAGTTGTGCAAATATCGGTGGCACTCGAATTAAGAAAAGGAGAAAGAAATAACAGTTACATGTTTAGCGCATTTGATGTTTCTCGATTCTTTTTCTTCAACGAGCACCAAAAAATATACTCACTTAATCATAGATTCAACGTAATGCTTTACTACATACAATGCTACGTTTTTCCAAATAGTTGACATATGATTACTATAAAAAAATTAGATTAAATCTTTATTTAAACTCTCATCAAATTTTTTAGATATCGAAAATTAATTGCTACATTTATCTTAAACCTGATAGCTTTAAAAAAAGGACGACATTAAATATTCACTTATTCATCGAAATCAATTAAAACTACAAAGAATGAGTAGCATCAAAAATGGCGAAATATATTTATATGAGAAACGATTGAAATTGCGAAGCATGAGAAACGTGTATTGTGAAGCAATTTAATAATAATAATTGCTAACGTCTAATAATGAGATATTACGATATAAATTTAATTTTTTGTAATAATTCAGAAACAATTGACTGTACCTTCTCGAGATTGGGAATCTGTAAAACTGTTCTAAAAAACTGCGCTCCTCTCGCTGGTCGCAGTTTCGAGCCAATCTTGCTAACACCAGCGCAGGTGGCAACGATGGAAATATAATGGGATTCCTGATAGTGCGTAATAACGTTGAGCAACATATCCGTAATTCTGAAATCAGTTTAAGATCCCGAAATTTATCGAGGAATCTTGAAATAACTATCAATTATTTCATGTTACAAAATAAATCGAGAAATAATTTTCTTAGATTGCTAAGAACTTTAACCTAGAATAATATTTTTATATAATTAAATCAAAATATGATTTCTTTACAATTAACACAAATATGTCAGTCGTATGACCGTCGTGATTAATAATATTATCGTAGAATTTTCTTTATCTTTCCCTTTTCTTATCAGAACCAACATTTCTACAATCTTAACAAATAATGATGAACACAATTTAATTTACCTGGCAGCATTCGTCGCGTCTATGGTATTTTCCTCGTCATTTGATGTGTTTGAAATGCTTTCCAAATCGTCCAGAAATAGTATAGACGGTTGATAATACACGCATTCACTCAATGCGGAAGTAATCATCTTCTGTATTGTTTCTACCTTTTTACCTAATCAAGCATTACTGTGATAAATAGCGTAAGATTCAAGTAACTGGTACATCAAAATTAAACTTTAAGTTGCTTTTTCAATTATTCATTAAATCCCTCTTCATTCTAATTTAAATTTTAAAATGTATACAAATTTCGAAGTGCAATACAACTTTAATCAATTAAAATAAGTCGAATTCTAGTCAAAAATGGATTAAACAATAAATTTGTCCATTAAATTTTAGTATATTAAAACGTGAGTATATGATATGATTTTAATTAATTCGACTTATTATAAGGTATTAAAATTAAAAAAAGAAACAATGAAATCTTTTACATATATCATTGCAATAAAAAAAACAATTTGCGTTCGAAGCTCTTTATAAATTTGGCGATCCGACAGGGATTAAAATTCATCGCTGTATCGCATTTAACATCGTTAATTGCACGCAAGTGCTATCGCGATATTACCTTTCAGCAATCTGCAATCAATCATGTGCGTGTACGCGAAACACGGCGCGTCGCGATAACGCTCGATTAGCATTTTGCAGATGGTCGTTTTGCCGGAACCCAAATCACCGCAAATTAAAATGTTTTCCCGATCATACCGGAAGTCCACCGATCGCCGCACACTCAAGCTGAGATCGAGCGCGATCTCGCAGTCTTTAAGAATGCCCTCTGTATATCTGTAATTTATTTCATCGTCAATTGTTTTCGTGTAACATGAAAATTTAATGCTTCGTTGGGGACTTTATTTTGCACGACTCTGCCGACAGCAATTACATGCAAATATATGTATATCTCGAACGCATTACCTCGTGGAAGTTTTCTCCAGTTTCAAATTTTCTCCGGGACAGTCCTCCGAAATTTCTGCATTACTCGAATTCAACACAGATCGAACGTGGACGACCAGGTTTTCCATATCCGTCGCGTCTATCGTCGCGTAATCGCAATCCGCAGGTGACATTCGCACAACGCATTGTTTGCCGCCGTCGAATAAAATCGTCGCGCGCGAGTTGAGCAGCAACGCCTCGTATCTTGAATGAAATTGAACGTAATTTTCGAAATTTTCCATCGTGATCGATTGATCGGACGGGAAGATGTCCATTGACGACGGTTTCGGCCGCTCGGTTGCCTCTTCGATCATCCGCACGATCACTCTGCTTCCCACTTTCAAATTCAGAGTAATCCTCAAATCGGATGACACGTATGCACGCGAATGAATCGAATTCAGATCGAAATACTTTCTGTCTAAAGATGCGGAACACTTTTCTAAAATGTCTTCGAGAACATAAATTCTCGCGGTAAGCTCTTGCGGGGGTTCAGGCTCGAAAGAGGTCTCTTCGTTTTTCAGAAAGCTCGTGCTAGTTATGTTAACGTGCTGCCGAACTTCCTGCACTTTCTTTATTTTACCTGAGAAGGAATTTTTTGCTTTAATCCTTTGCGTGTAAATTTTATTGGGATAAACGTAATGCTTTAAGATGAAATTAATCTATTTTAATTTGTACAAAATGGTCGCATAATTCACAATCTTGATTTTAATGACAAATTCTCTAGTAAATTTTGTATTAATCTTTCTTTAACAAAAATATCGGGGCTGCGATAGAGTTTGAATTTATGTGATTATGTATTAATTTCAAGTAGATTTTATTTCAATAAAATTGTAATATCAAATTACAACAATATATTACGTTAAAAATTTTATGATTTCTTTGATATTTTTATTAAAAAAATTAACTTTGAATTGATTAGAGAATTTGTCATTAAAATTTAAATATCATAAATTGTGAGATTCTATATATAGATATATTATTAAATTAATTCGATTATAAAATTAATTTTAAAAAAGTAATTAATTAACTTAAACAAATTATAGATATCAAACAAAACTCTTATGACTGTCAATAAAAACTTACACATCATTGTTTCACTCGTAGATTTCGCATCTTTCGGCAAGCAGCTCCTCGGAATCAGGATGTGGCAGGGACATCGCAGGATCATGTCGCAAGCGTTCGATTGATCGAAGGACCGGAACTCCAGCAGAGGATATACACGAAACACGCGAGGTATGCTTCTTTTACCATAGCTTTGCAGTAACGCATAATTTGCGACATTATCTTTCGAAGTGCGATGATCTTTTCCTTTCGAAAAATAAGGAAACATTTTCGCCAAAGAACTGCTTATTGTAATGAGCTCCTCGTTAACATTCTCATGCTTTATCGCTGCACTCGCGATTGTATCGAGCACATGCACCTCCGTGAACTGCTTGAGTAACCCATACGCGAATTTCGGCTCTGAATCCTCTATAAAAATCACACAAAATATTTTTCTAATAATTCTAGAAGACATTGTCTACAAATTTTTTGATTTACAAATTCTTCAATTAAATTTCTAACAACGCGAATTATTATTAATTAATTAAAATTAAAATTCTCACAATATCAGTGCAATAAAAACAAAATAGTCTAATATTCAAAGATGCGATATTTTCAAAATATTCTGCATTGTTTGTATAAGAAAAAAAACGAACTACTTACCCACAATAAAAGTGACGGAGGAGAACTTTGAGATCCACGCCACAATCGGCTGGCCCTTTGCAACTATTCTCACTTGGTTCAAGAGATCCGATTGCACTCTTTCCATTTGCAATTCCTGTAGCAAAATAAAGACGATTGATTTATTAATTCATTGTTAACTGATGCGTGATAATTTTCATACCAAAAGCTCGCGGTCGCTCGTCGTGAGAGGAGTGATTTTAATGCTGCTTAACGAAGACACATTTTTCACAGAGGACACGAACACTTCGTCTCCTTCCTGAATGTTCAAACTTCTCGCGAAGGTCGCCCCGATGCATAGTGTTTCGTCATTATTAATGCGAGGGAAGCAAGAAAGATAATATGCTCTTCCGTTATGCGACACTTCAATCGCATTCTCCTGTAATTAAATCGTCGTTTGAATATTATTAAAATTAAGACAATTACTGTTGATTAAACTAAATTTTAAAACTTTAAATCATGTCCAAGAAATATTTATTGCTCACAGCCAAAAAAATTGCAAGAATTGAGTAACATTTTTTAAATTTATATAAATGAACAATTGATGTTTCATCAATTTATACTTTTTAAGACATCGAATTTTTTCATCATTCTTTTCTACTATTATGATAAAACAATATACATTTTCATAATTTATTATTTATTTTATCGATTCTCAATTTTATAAAATATTCTCGAAAGATAAATGCTGCTTTTTTGTTAAAAATTACGTTTTTATCGATCATCAACTACAAGGTTTTCTCGTATATCGATTTTTTAACCACTTAGTAGTTTCTGTACAGCCGCACGAGTCGCTGCTGTAGCGAGACATGCAATAGTCACGTGATATTTGTTTTGACGATAAGAGCTCGCTGTAAGAACTAACCTCAGTTTCCAGACGACGCAACCAGACAGCCGGCAGATGCGCAAAACAATTGTTCGCCGTAACGTATTTTACAAGAAAACGTTCACGTTGCATTTCGAAAGGACGCAGCCATGAACTGATGAACAAACAGTAGCACTTCCACGGCGACACACTTCTCCGAGGACAAAACCTGATGAACTTTGCACTAGGTAGTTGCTATATAATTTCCATATGTACTGATCATACGAACCACTGAGAACGGAATGCTTCGTTTTCAATCGGGCCGATAATTTACATTTTTACTTGAATATATTAAACAAATAAACCACTATAGGAATGTAATATTTATATGTTTTTAACCTAAAAACTAATTAAAACTTGATTTTCGAAGTTTAATACAAATATTAAAACGAATATAAATAAAATTGAACACATGTGACAATATATGTTTTTAACCTAAAAACTAATTAAAACTCGATTTTCGAAGTTTAATACAAATATTAAAACGAATATAAATAAAATTGAACACATGTGACAATATTATAAAGAAACACGATTAATAAGTGCAAACTATTATTCTAAAGAAAAGAGGAATATAGAAACAAATATAGAAAATCAGAGTAGAAAAGAAAGCATTAATAGTCAATAAATATATATATATAAAATGTTCTTTCTAGCACAAGAAGGATTACAAATCAAAAATTGCATATACAATAGCAAACTATCAATCTAATAAGTGCGATGAGATGAATAAATTTAATAAAAATAGTAAAATGAATAAATTTAGTACAAAAGTGACCATACGAGCGAACGGAGCAGTCACGACGTGTTTCCACAAAACGCCACCCGAGACTGTGGCGCTCGATTGACGCCGCTGGCCAATCGGCGCACACTGGTCATCCTAACTGTTGAGTTTGAATCATCTGCTGTCACCCGTGAGTGAAATTCAAAGGCGGACTTCGACGTAGTAACGCGGCCTGACGAGGCACGGCAAACGTGAGTGCACGCGGAATGCAAGAACTTCATAAATAAAGCGGCCTTTCACCGTTCACACGGCACGAGCATCCGAAATTAATCAGGTACACGACACTGCTTTCCCGTTCACGGTCTCGGCAACCGAATACAGAATCCGCTGAGCCGTATCCACCATATTGCTCTTTCGCTGTTGAATAAATATTTTGCTGGCGACCTTCACATCAGCATCCGCAGTTCGAAGCAATCACTCGTCGATACCGCGTGATTTTAATCCTCGAGACTATTGAAGGTGACGAAATCATTTTTTCGAGTCTTTTAATCCGGTTTTATGACTGAACAAATGATCTGAGCCTGCTGGAAAATTCCCGCGTTTTTCTGGTTACCGGTTTTCGGATCTGAGAAGAACACAAAAAAACAAGCGATTTATCACAGAAAGCAACGTAAATTTCTATGCCGGCTAGTAACGTAATAATTCTCCTTCATTTTGACCATAAATTCAACATTCTTTTCAGTACAGTTGGCGAGGAAACATGTAAATGTACGATTTGTATACAAAGGAGGTTATATGTTAATTAAATGTTCTGCATAAAATACATGCACAGATTCGTGCTTTGGAAATATCTACAAAATTGTCTCACTCTTATCTACATTATTTTTTAATAGACTGTTTTTCTTTAACAAGATTGCACACATTGTGATGTCTTTTACATTATGAACATCTATATCTTTTTGTTATTATCTTTCTTGATTATTTTTCTTTATTATCTTTTGCTGTTATTTTTTTTCTAGTTATAATTTAATTAGAACTAATAATATTCTGGTCTTTTAAATATAAAAGTTAAACATAAGAATTCTCTTTAATCACTTAAGGCATCACTTTAAGCATCGCACTTTGCGTAACATATGATGTAAAATTTGTGATATACTCATCAGACATTGAATTATTTGAATAATTATATTAATGAAGTTTTATTAAAATATATAGACATAAAAGAATTCGTAAATTTTGTTGAATATATTTATATATGTAAGAAACAACAATAAATATTCTAAACACTTTATTTTTATCAAGTTCCAAGTAAACGTTTTTGAAAGAAACAAATTGTAGAGTTGGATTTATCAACTTTTATTCAAACATTAAGAATAGAAGAAACTTGCATATTTGGATGAACTATGATTTGTGCTCGTTTTAATAAAACGTATAATTCGTAAATTCTATAATTTTTGGATTTAAACTACCTATTTTAGAGTTCTAAGGTTAGGAATTAGTCTAATAATAAATATCGATATTATATGCATTTTCTATAATAACGATATTAAATTAAATTTAATATATTTCTGTTTCAATAAATAAGGTTTTTATTTTTTCTCGCGTGAACTGTATTGCACTTCGTGTAATTTAGCATTGATTATTTATTAATTATTTCTATAAAACATGTGTGTTTTTTTATTTATATTTATTTTCTGCGCATGTTTATAGCATCTTTAGTCTGTAACATAAATTTTTTTATGCAGAATTTCTTCTTTATTTATTACGAAACATGTGTTTTTTCATATAGGTTATGCTTCATTTCGAATGTGTACAAGAATGCAAATTTTGGAGATTTTAGTGTATTTTACAGCTTAATATATTAATGACAATGTTCTGATTATAAGCTAATTTTTAGAGATGATTTTGTTTAAACGAAAATATAAGGAACTATTTTTAAAACATTTATTAATTAAAATTAGTGATTTTTTAAAACAAGTCTCGTATAATTTGAATAATAGGAATTAGACAAGGAATAGGAGCAAGTTTTATCTTCGTATCTAAAAATGGCACCTCCAAAATCATTACTTGGACATAATAGACAAAACGTCCTTGCAACCTCAAGAAAGGGGATGACAACCAGGAGTCAGAATGCTGTGCAAAGCAACGTATGTTCCTTCAAACCTTCCGGCTCGAGAGAGACTCGAGCTAAACGGAAAGCGGAAGCTTCGCCACCGAAAGAAAAAACCACCAAACGAACCGCCTTTGCAAACATTACTAATGTACGCATATTATAAATGTTATTATGTTATAATTATTTATGTTGTAATTGTTATTATAACATAATATTTGGTTCTTCAAAGAGAAAAATGATGCAGAAATCAATGAGAATCGTAACAAACATTATTGAAACGTAAAAATTATTAGTAAATTAATAGACAAAGAAAAACATTTTGACCACAATTTTAATTCTCTTCAATTTAACAAAATGTAAAACCGTACTTGTGGTTTTTATTGCCTATCATTGCTTATAATAGTTTTATTTTTATATTGTAATATTATAGTAAAATTTGTGCACGTTGTGCATTGCACTTTGTTATTAAATTTGTTTAAGTGACAAATTCACAGTTATTGAAATGGTATTTCAGAAGTAAACATACGGTAATATAAAAAGTAACGATTTGTTCGTGCATCGCGACTTTATATTATAGTTTATATAGTTTTTCTCTTTTTTTATTTTTGTATCTTGTATTCATAATCTTACATGTTGCTTTATAAGTTATTGTATTTTATTCTTTTTTATATATTTTATTGCTTATATATTGTACAGGCCATCGTATCGTTCGGAGGACAGAATCATGCATCGAAAAAAACAGTTAATATCATTAAGCCGCATGTGGAAAATAATGCCGCGGCGAAGCCCGCGGACGTTACTACATTGAAAGCCGTGTTAACGAAATCAAAATCGACGATTCGTGTCCCAATTCATACCGCCAAACCCAAAAAAGAAGAAAAGACAGAGAGCAACAAGAGTCAAGGCACGAGGCACAGTTCGGATTTAGAAAAATCGGAAGACAATTCGCTGTACGTCAGCGCCTTGGAAGATATTACGGATAGCATGAAGAGGACTCGCAGGAGCAACAATATTTTAAAAGTAAGCCATATTTTGTACAGTACATTAAATGCAATACTTCTGTAATTGTAAATTTTATTTCAATTTGCTTTAGTGAAAATATGAAGATCTAAATTTTCTGCAATGTTTTTAACTTTTAACATGGAACTTTTTGAGGATTCACAAAATCAAATTCCAACAAAAAAGACTTAAAAATTCTTCAATATTCTGTGATATTTTTATTAGTTGTAATTGTATCTAATTAAAAGAATATTTAATAGCCATCTGCGATTGCGTTTCAAGCGAAAATTAATGAAAGTATACTACAGATCAAGGAGTACGAGAAGACAATCGAAATGGACGAGAAGAAAGAGGAAAACTCGAGTGAGCCCAGGACGAGCGAAAAGGTTTCCGCCGCCGCGTTACTGGTTGCCATGCCCGTATCGACAGTGCCCGACAATATACAATGGGACTTCGACATCGAGAATTGGTTGGATCCGTTCCAGGTATCGATGTACGCGATGGACATCTTCGATTATTTGAAGGAGCGCGAAGTCCAGTTCCCGATCGGTGACTACATGGAGCGGCAGGTGTGCCTCTCGCGGTGGATGAGGGCGCTGCTGATCGACTGGATGGTCGAAGTCCAGGAGTCATTCGAGTTAAATCATGAAACTCTCTATCTAGCCATAAAGCTGGTCGACCTGTATCTAACAAAGGTCACAGTTGGCAAGGAAACCCTGCAACTGTTGGGTGCCTCGAGTCTTTTTATAGCGAGCAAATTTGATGTGAGTTTCATAAAAAAAAACCGTATAAATTTTTATCTGATCAAATCGATGAATCGAATGATAAAAACTTGTTCTTTGACTGTAGGAAAGAATACCGCCGATGGTAGAGGATTTCTTGTACATATGTGATGGCGCGTATTCGCAGCGAGAGCTCATCCGCATGGAGATGAACGTCTTGAAAGTAGTGAATTTTGATCTGGGAATACCTCTTTCTTACAGATTTCTTCGGCGTTATGCTAGGGTAAGTGACATTGAACTCAATGTTACCACTTTGTTTCGGGAAGTATCTGGCGAGCAAATATTAATATTATTTTTCTCTGAAATATTTATGTATATATTTTACCTTACCGGAGTCTGTATACTAATTCAATGGCCATTGCTTAAAAACAGTGCGCTAAGGTGTCCATGCCCACGTTAACTCTGGCGCGATACATATTAGAGTACTCGCTGATGGATTACTCGATGATCACGCTCAGCGATAGCAAATTGGCAGCGGCGGCGCTCTTATTAGCAATGCTGATGAAAGACTTGGGCGGGTGGAATTCGACTTTAGAATATTATAGTGGCTATAAGCTCGATGATATAAGAGATATTTGCAATCTTTTGAATGAGACTCTGCATAAGAAACACAAGGAAACCTTAATGACCGTACGCAATAAATACAGCCACAAGTGAGTATTAATTTAAGTAAATATTAATCCTTTTCCTTCTAGGCTCATATGTTTCCAGCAAATATTACGCGGTGTATCTGAAAAATAACGAATAATTATTTGTTCTTATTTTTTGCGTAAACGTTTACTGACAATTAGTGGCTTACACAAAAAATTTAAAGGATATTTTGTTATTTTTCAGACATGCTTGTATAATACAGTAGAGCTTCTGTATTTAATATCCCCTATTTTCCCTATTTTTACTTCTTTTTACACTGTTCTCTTATTGTTTCACATTTACCTGATTACTTGGTTATGTTGAATATAATGCTGAGGTACATTTTACCTTTCATTTGCTTTTACGTGATCAAGTAAATGTGAAACAATGGGGAAACAGCGCAAAAGAAGCGCATGAAAATATGGAAAGTCCCGCAAAGTCCAACCCTACGTCCGAGCAATTAAAATTCAAAGCCACGTGCGGGGCGGGCAACATTTCGATCTAGAGATGGCAAACAGGGCAATGGCATTGTGCATTGAAACGAATAGGTATATCAAGAAAAAAGCGTACAAGAATTTCAAGATAACCAAAGAATAAAAAAATAAAAGGAAAAGAAAAATAAAGAAGCTCTATTGTATTTGATAAACGCCAACTACGCTTATTAAAAAATAAATATGAATTACTATTGATATATACTTGCAATTTACAATGCGCATTTTGAAAAATTGTTAGAAAATTAAAAAAATATATATAATTTTAAAAAAAATCGTTTATAAAATATTTAAAATATATTTAAATTTTCTAAATTTTTCAAAATATGTATTATAAACTGTAAGTATACGTGTAATTATATTTGTGGATGTGTATGTATGCATGCATGCATACATGCATGTCTGCAAGTGGCTAGAAAGTTCTCAAAGTCAATTTAAACAAGAGAAACTATTCAACATAATTCTCATGTCACGCATTACAACGCATGCATATTGATTGCTAGCTTTTTTAAATAAATGTTTTACAATGTTCTAATGCAATCTTCCATTAAACACAGCTGATTACTCCTGATATTGCATTACCTAAAATTCATAGTTTATTTCATTAAGCTTTAACCCATTAACCCATTAACCCATTAACCCATTAATAAGTTACTCGCAAATTATTAATTCTCATGCAAAAAAATTCAGTCTGGGAACTTTTCAGTCATATAAAAAGTAATAAAGTATTTGAAGCACACGTATAATTTTCCTGAAGCTTTGCAATTTACCCCATCTTATCTACATTTTAGGATATTCTTCGAAGTAGCAAAGCTGCCGCTAAAAGATACTCTAGATATATAGGTAATATATAAAAATTACATTTTAAATGCATATAAAGCAACTGGTAACGTTAATGAATCAAGGAAATATCCGAAATTCAACATGAAAGTACAGACAGACGGTTGACAAAGTGAAATGAATCGCAAAGACTAGTCGCAACCAACCAATCTTTGTTGGATCGATCTAACCATCGCCAGTTGGAATGGTCGTCAGTATGCGAATAGCGACACTAAGCTCTCTAAATTGTACAATGCGTAAAAGCTAAGATGAAAGCGTAAGAACAGTCGAGTGGTCCATTTAAAGGTTTAATTCCACATTCATCGATATGTATCGAAAGCTTTCTTTTACAATTATTATTATTAGTATTATTCTTAGAACCCCGGATCAGTGTTATAACGCTGCGTTCCATTTGGCCGTCCACGCTGAATATCAAAAGCAGTGATGAGCAAGTAACTCTTTTCTACATTGCGTTCAACAGTGTTCAGCGCGTGCGAGACAATCGGGCGCAACATTACGGCACTCATTCGCGAGTTCTAATTATTATTATATATATTTATACACTTGACACGCGAGATATAATCTCTTTTTGACTTTACAATCTCAGTATTTGTAAGTTGTATATTTTACTATTTTTTTTCTCTTTTTTCTTTTTTTTTTTTACTAAAAAATTTATTTTAGCGCCACACTTTTACTACACTGCGAGGTTTTCCCAACTGAAATTTGACGCCGAGTTTTTTCCAACACGCTAGACTAAAAAAAAGTAGTGCATACTGTCGGGTTTCGCGGAAACAAAAGTGTAAATTTTTTCCAAATTTAGAAAAAAAAATAAAACCTATTTTAGTATAATATTTTTGTACTTTTATACACTTTTCCTAACAGATTTTTCGTATTTCCAAACCATGTTAGAGAAACACCATTTCTTTAAACCTAAAATTACACAACAACGGTTCCATCCGTATTGCACTCGAATGCTTTGTGTCTATTGAAACTGGCCTTTCGGCCAGAATTTTGGAAACACTCGGCTCATATTTAAGAAATTGACCGTCTGACGATTGTAAATAAATTGTAAGCAGTGATAAATTTAAGTCAATAAGGTAAGACGTTATTTTTAACTCTTCGAGTCCCAAATTTGTTAAACAATTTATTTTTATAGTGCATATTATCATTTATATGAAATTTTATAATGAAACAATCATAAGATTTAATTTCCATCAAAAGAAACAATTATATAATTATTTACTATTATTTAAAATCGATATGTCAAACATCGGGACTCAAAGGGTTAATCCACACGTGCTCGATTTACATACTGTTAAACGCAGTCGAAGTTAAAGCATACTTGCGAAAAATATAGCTATTTCGCAGGCATCTGTGTTTTACTTTCGGGACAGTCGATTACGTACATTATTTTTCAGTCTTATCTTAAATAATCTCTCGATACCAAACGCGAACAAACTATAATTTCTACTCAAGGTGCTGACGTATAAAATGGTGTGGCGCATTGTTATACATCGTTGTTGCGCTTTGTGTAAGCTGCTGATAAAATTTACGCTCGGGATGAGAAATTGCTCGGATTCCTGATTGTTACAATCGAAAGTGACCGAAATTTCCGTCGCGGAATTATCCGACGATACGAGAAATAAAAAAAAATCGACATGATGAGATCTTAGAAGATAATTATACTTAGCAGTATACTAATTTAGCTGTGTACGTTATGGCAATTCAGCTAGATACGATTTAAGCTCCTGTTTTGTACATTTAGCGAAGTAAGGTTTTCCTTCTCCGTTGAAAATCGCGAGTGCTCAGTTTTCGAGCGATTACTATCGATATTCACGCCATCAAATTGTCACTATGGTTCCACAGAGAGTGCGTCTGCTTAAAATACTAGGATTGTTTAGAGCAAAGGTGCACCTGATCGATTACTCAAGTTCAAGAAGCAAAAAAAATTAAGTTAAACGTCTCACGTGTGCCAAAGTTGAATGTGATAGTAATTCAAAAAAAGACTTAGTTCACTACATTGACAGATTCCGACGTTTCAAGACGCGATGTATCACAAGGCTCCTGTGAGTGACGTGTACTTTCTTCACCGAAACATTTAGATAACCGTCGAAGCGAATAAAAAGACCACCTGTGATATCAATATTGTCACAAAATCGAAAGAATGATGAGTGTGTGTGTCAAATATGTTTTTTTACATGCAGGGCGGCCACAAAATCCTGTTATCCGTAATGTAAAATTGAAGAGCTCGTAGAGCTCGGTAAGGACGAAATAAATCCGTAATTTGCAAATTCCATTTCGGAGGCGATTATCTGAGATATCATCGTACAAATTACAGGCTTATCTCATCCTTTTGCCTTAACTGGCAAAATTCCCATTATTTGGCACTCTTACGATATATTGTATTTATATAATTATTATAATTTATTTATAACAATGCGAAGAAATATGAAACGAAATATTGAAATGTATGCGAGATAACAAGGAAATTTAATATATATAAAAAAAATATTTAAAAAATAAAATATAACAAAGCAACAATTGATCCCGGTGGATCAAATTCTGTGTGACATTCTTTTCAGTTTTTCTTGAGAAAATATAAAAGTGAAATAAAAATGACATTCCACATACGGCGATTAGTATAATTTATTTGATAATTATATGAGAAAACAAGGAATAAGGGAATTTTATGGCTACCCCGTATACGTACTTACGTTTGCACTGATTGCTTGTGTATAATATTTTCTGTTTTCGACAAAGCCTTATCTCAATACGCATCTTCGGAAACGTCGATTCTTGGTAGACTTTTAGTTACCTCAGCAACGGAGAATCTAAGTAAATTACTGTACATATTATTCAATCGCAAATTCGCACCTGTACATATACATATATAGATATATATACACATGCATGATTAATTAGGACAAATTCGGAATGAATTGATTGTGACCAATATATATTAAACATTACACAAAAATGTCTTGTTGCGCGATCATAAAGCTAGCACTAAATTTTAAGCTAATGTATATAATCAGTCATATATTTTTTTACTGCCGATGTACCAAGTTTATTAGGGATCATAACATAAGATCTATCTCTATTCCTGGATACAGATAGATGTGTGCATGCGCGCTAAACGAGATGTAATAAAAAGTTATGAAAAGTTGCGCACTATTTCATTTCTAGCGCGTCTCGACTAGCACCGATTAGTTTTTACTTGTTGCTCATGCATTACCGTCGAATGATTGTTTAATTATTTTTGCAACAATTTCTACAAAACGTGCAGGTAGCACAAGTCAACGATAAACCAGAAACAGTACACACACGGAGCCGTGGAGTTGCTCGTGGAAATTGTTTTGCTAAGACATTTGTTGTTTAAAATAGAATTTCTGACTTGACTTGTACTGCCGCAAAGAGTGGACGTCTGATTTATCGTTGCTATCGGAGAAATTGCATTTCCGAATCTTGAATTTCTCATCTGAAAGTAAACTGGTTTGTACATCAATCATAGCCGTTTGAGTTCGATGTTAACTTTATTTACACTTTACATGTTTCTTTATAAAGTTTTTTGTTCATAATTGTATTAAGAATTTATATGTAATATAGAACCATGTTTTGAAAGAAAATATAACAGAAATGAATTGCTCTGAGAATCTTCAGGGCTATTCTATTTCCAACGTCGGTTAACGTTGGATCAACGGTTCCAATTTATTAACAGAGTTAACGTAAAAAAATAAAATATTGTCATCAGGAGAAAAAAATTTTAAACTTTTTTCTTTAATGACAATATTTCGCTCATATTGATAACTTTGTCGACAAATTGGAACTTCATCGGTTAAAGTTAACCGATGTTGGAAATAGTGGCCCTTGATAATGCGCGCGTTTGAACAATATCTTCACAAATAAATAGATGTACATAGTTTAAGTGTCGGTGAAAATCAGGTACATACTCATTAGAATTGTTACTATAAACGACTTTTACACGCTAAAATAGTAATTCTACGCTATTTGTACTGGCCGACAGTATTCTCTAAAATTCCTGCCGACTTGAGATTATTTTATTGCCGTTTACGAAGTGATTACAAAGAAATAATACTTTCCGTAGTTAAATGTTCGCTACGCTCGAATAAATATGTATAAATACATTTTAAAATCTCTATACAAATCTCTATCGAAAAGAGCAACTATTGTGAATATGCAACAGCTATAACTACTTGAACAAAACATTGCATTTTATAGAAGAAAAAAAAAAACTAACAATTTATTGCGAAATGCAACATTTTTAAATAGCTCGTAAAGAATGCGTGAATGCTGCTCTACATTCTTTGATAAATTATATATTTTAAGATTTTTCACAGATTAAGTCTCCAAGCAGCATCCAAACAAAGTCCGAATAAACGTCCTGTCGCCGTATCACTTTTTTATTCAAAAAAGAAACTAAATCAAATGCGTATATCAGGCGTATATCACAATGCTTCAGTCTTCGCTATAATTTACGTCTCGTTCACTCGATATTCCTTTTTTCGAGACTGAGGCACAAGTAGAACAATCGAAATCTTCTAAATTTAATCCTTTTCTCCCCATTTTAAACTATTCTGCATTTATAATCAAATACCCTGTGAAATTGACTTTTCCTGCTTATTTCGTATTTATTTCGCGATCGTGTGAGACCATGTTGAGAGATTAAAATTAGAAAGATTCGGCTGTATTCTCCGAGTTAGATTATTACTACGCGTTATTGACGTTCTGCTTGATTTACGTCCGTTAATTCACATTTTTCTACGTCGAAAAAACGTCAGAAAAAATTAGAGTTAAGTTCGAACCGTTGAGTGATCATCGTAAACAAATTTTGCGTGATATTTATTACAGTAAATTATCTGCGCGCAATATATATTCAAGAACGTGTCTCGTCGATTTTTTAAATATGTATTATACGTATATATTTTCTATCGAATTGACACAATGTATATCAAAGAACGTCGGGAATCCCTCCCGGGTTTAAGTTAAATCGGAGATCGGCAATGTAAATTGATTAGCGAGTTATCGCAAGATCATTGGAGAAATCCTCGCAAAAGAGTTTCGCATTGTCTGAGATAATAAGTTGGGAGGGGATTCGCGACTCGAAGGTAGGCTGTTCTTAATACACGTATCCCACTCTGAATGGCGCGATGAAAAACGCCCTCGTCGTTCGTCAGGCCTTCTCGTCCCTCGAAAGTCGTCTCGCGTGCAGCCTCGTGCATCGAGGACACTCGAGCTTATTGGAGCCGTGCTTGCAGCTTATGTGAAAGCACGCGCCGCACTTGCTGCATCGCACCACCTTCGACAGATCCCACGGGAATATGATGTCCTTGGAACAGCACAGCTCACAAACGAATCCTCTAGCTTGACACAACTGAAAGAAATCGCGCAGATATAATTTATATAAATTATGAACTCCTCGTCGACTTTTTCGCGAAAAAAAAGTCGATTTCAAACTTGTCAAAGAATTTGTTATTAAAATTATGATCGTAATTTATGAGTCACTTGGTATATCACTAATTTTTGGAGTGGAAATTATAATGCAAATTATTTAGTGAATTATTTAAAATAATTGAGAAGCGTACGTACAGCAAAACTTGAAAGAGTCGATTTCAAATTTATTGGAGGATTTAAATTGAATTGGAGAGTGCATTGCGAACCGATTACTGAGCTATTTCAGATAATTCGGAAATACGATACCTCGCAATCTACAACGTGCGCGCAGCAAACTTGAACGAGTTCTTGCAGCTTGACAGACAATACACTCAATTTGACGTCTATGAAATTCTGAATTGAATACACGTGTGGATCGCTTATGATGTAATTCGGCTCCTTCTTCAGCACATCTTGAACACTGCAACATCGCAGAAATGTATCAGTGCGACGACGGGATATCGCAAGAAAATTACCTAAATCAAAACCGACATACCTGGTCGCGAATCGACACGTGAATAAGAAATCTTTTAAGAAGAATAACTTCGTGCGCAAGACTCTCGTTTTGTCCAATTGCTTTATGCGTCTGTACAATAGCGGATTTAGGTCGTTCACTTGAAACAGCGGATCCGACACCATCTGGTCCAGCAGTCTGTACGAGAAGTTCGACACGGGATATCTGCAAAGTGTCAAGAAGCATTGAAACAGTAGTGTTTAAACACGGTCACGTATCTCTAATTAACAACGGCGTTTTTCATTAAAGATAGAACTGAGAATTCAAAATAACAGACTGAGAAGATAATATGTAGCATCGGTTCAGCGAAGAAAAAGATTAAGGCACTTGTATTTATTTATTATAAGCTTGACAAATAATTTTACAAAAAAAAACTTACCTGTTGAAGTCCCATTTGGACAGGATTTTTCCGGGTATAAACGCCACCTGGTTCGTGTGACAACCCGTGCAAAAATATCGCCCCAGGTACTCGCAATATCGAAATCGATTGGCGTATTTCACCGCAACCTTCATACCGCAACCGGCGCATCTGTAATTCTGCTTCGCTATCAGCGTCCGCCTCCTGAAAAAGAAGCGATTTTCGCATCTTTTCGCTTTCAACATTTCACTTTTAATCCCCAATCAAAATTCTATTAAAAGTCCACTCGAATTCATCACATTTCCTTTCCTCTTTACACTTACATCGGCGGCGGATGAGGCGTGAAGATGATCTGCGGTCGCGGCGGAGCCCATTCAATCGTGCCTCTCAGCGGAATCGTACGCGCGTCTTCGATCTCGACCTCGTCCGGGCTGACGGGCCAGCTCTTCGGCATCGGCAGCAACCGCTGCGGTGCGTCCTTCTCCGAGACCAGCCACTGCAACTCGCTCGCGCGCGGCAGCTGCTTCTCGCTAAAGCGGCTGATCAGCGACAACGCCACACCTTCAGCGGACACGCTGCTCTCGCTCAGCGTCGAGTCTGTAATGTGATGCCTCGTTTGGCCGCGCAACTCCGCGTCCGAGTGCAACGACGACGCGACTGATCCGCGCACACCGCTGTTCCTGAGCCTCCGCTCGTCGTCTAACTCGGAGTCCTCCACGTCCGTCGACAAAAATATGTCTGACGGATCGCTCGATGACGTGGACAACGGACTGACGCTTTGATCCGTGGTGGTGGTCGTGTCGGTTCTGCCGTCGCTCAATAGATCGCCGCGGCTCCAGCCTCTACCGCGGCACTTCTCTTCCTGACGCTGCCGGCGTCGCAGCCGGATCCGCTGCTTCAGCCGGTTGATCTCCTCGTCACTTTCGTCATCGGCGCCCGCGTCCACGTCCAATAATCGGCGCTCCAGTCGATTGCACTTGATCTGCTCGATCGCGGCGATCATCGCCTCGCACACGCTGAAGTGCGCGTTCTCGCGATCGAGCTCGGCGTCGTGGGCGCGCGAGAAGCGCGCCGACGACAGAAAGCTGGTGAGGCTCTGGCCTTCGGCGGGCCGCGGGAAGTAGCCCGTCGCCATCGGCTGCACGCTGCTGCCGCCGTCCTCCATGAAGCTTTTCCGCGGCGTGCGGATGTCCTTCTGACCGGATTCCACCACCAGGCTCCACGGGCCTGTGAACTCTGGCGCGGAGCCCGCCAGGAAGGACGTTTTGCGGCGCGTCGCTCGCGGCTCCGTCGCGTCGAGCTGCGCTTCTGTCGATTCCGTCATCGCGGAGAGCCGCGCCGTTGCGCCGATCGGCCACGTCTCGCCGGCGCTTCTAGCGTTTTCCCGAACACTCAAGACGTCCTCTGGATCCTCGGAGGAGATTTGTCTGATCTGACTATGCCGCGCCTTCGTTCGGCTCCTCGTCTTTCTAACGGGCGTCTTTGGCTTCGTTATCGGCTTGTCGACTTTCGAGTCGACAGGTTGCTTCGAATCTGAATAATTGATGTTGATAATCTCCGCCAATTCGATCGTGCGAGGACGATTACTGCCGCTGCTCTCCTGAAGAGACGATGAGATCGTGGCTGAATTCTCCACAGCAACCGCGCTTTTTACCAGAACGGGCAGGCTGTTCCACGTTTTCAAGGGTGCATCTTTGTGCTTGGAGTCGCTTTTCGCGTTATCTTCAATGGTGATTTGTACGGATTTTGACGTTTCGCCGATTATGCAGTCTGTGTCACACGACACTGATTGCATCGAGGTTTTCAGCTGATCCAGCTGGCATTCTTTAAAAACACTTGCGCTCTTGTCTCGCGCGAAGACGCGACTGGCGCCGGAGAAGTTCACCGGGTACGAAGACGAGCGGCGATGTCGCCTGGGGCTTGCTTTAGGAGACACCCATGTCGGCAGAAACTGTAAAAAATAAAAAAGTAGAATTATCTCGTACAATTTGTAGCCAATTCCTAATTCGAAATTATTAGAATTCAAGATTCTACAAATAAAGTAAAAAAATTGATATTTTGCAGAAACTCTTACAAATTATTTTCTATAATAACTTTCAGTTTTCTAATGCCGGAAATGAAACATTGCTTACTAAACAAGGATCAATCTCTGCGAGCAGCACAGGCTGATTCCTCTCGACTGCTCTTAGATACAGTAGCGTTGCTTCCGCCAGATTTTCTTGGCAAAGAAAGGCCCATGGTTCGAGGCAAGAAAGTAGATGCTCTTTATCAGACAAAAGCCATGATAATTTGTGCGACAGAGAGTGGCTCTCTAAACTGTAATTAGATAATATTCTTAATTTATGGATGTTCTTGGTAAGAATATACATAAGTGTACAGCGTGTTTCATTTTAATCTAGCCAGGCGAATATTTCAAACGCTGTTGAGTTTAGAGAAAAATGTTTCAGACAAAAGTTGTAGGATTCGGAGGGGAACACAAGATGATGGGCTTGAGTTTTTGATGAAGGTAAAATTGAAGGTCATATGAAGGTCAACTTTGTTTTTTTAA